AAGGGTTAGGTGTACAATTACGTTTCATTCAGGCACCCTGTTGATGATAGGTGTTTCCCCATCCCCAGACAGATATTTGCTACTATTAATCCCATCCCCCTCCCCCCAGAAAATATAGTTTATTTAAAAGCTAAATTAGAGAGAGAGAGAGAGAGAGAGAGAGAGAAAGAGGAGATTCACCTCACCAGGGCAGAGAAGGGAGCCAAAGCCAGGAAGCATGGCGACAGCCATAGCCCAAAGAGCACATGGCCACACCACAGTCTAGTAAGACAACAGCCGGGGAAAGCGTTTTTAAAGGTTTTGGAGTAGACAGAAGTGTGCTCATTGGGTGAAAAGTGCCAGGGTGAAGTCATGGGACAGGGAGGTGAAGAAACTATATTCTCGTGCTGATTTTGCTCCTCTGTGGAAGTCTTCACACTGGTTGGCTGTCAGTCGTTACCCTGGAATTCAGGATCTGAAAAACATCTTTTTTTTTTTTTTTTGAGTCGGAGTCTCACTCTGTCACCCAGGCTGGAGTGCAGTGGCACACTCATGGCCACCACAGCCTCAACCTGCTGGGCTCCGGTGATCCTTCCACCTCAGCCTTCCATATAGTTGGAACTATAGGTATGCACCACCATGCCTGGCTAACTTTATGACTTATTGTAGAGATGAGGGCTCATCATATTGCTCAGGCTGGTCTCGAACCCCTGGGTTCAGGCAATCATCTCGCCTCTGCCTCCCAAAGTGCTGGGATTACAGGCGTGAGCCACCACACCTGGCTTAACTTTTTTATTTATTGTAGAGATTAGGTCTCTCTAAGTTGCCCAGGCTGGTCTCACACCCCTGCACCTGCATCTTAAACAATTCTTAGAGAAAAGCGTTATGATTCTAATGTCAGAAATTCTATATACAGGAGCACTGGCAATGTAAATGGCTAGTATTTCATGACTTTGGGTTACAAGGATGTGGGTCAAAGTGCAGCCTGATTAATGTTTAATTATAACTACATTTCTGTCCAGAATTTCTGTTAACCCTCTGAGGATGGCTTCGATAATAATCCTAAATGTATATGCGCCAAACCACAGAGCCACAAAATATGTGAAACAAAAACAGGTAGAAATGAAAGATGCAGACAAATCCATCAACAACTGATTGAACAGCTACACAGGAAATCAGCAAAGATACATAGAAGAACCCAGCAGCATCATCAACCAGCAGGATCTAATTGATGTTGATAGAATGTACCACCACACTTCAGCAGATATGTCTAGCTCTTTTCAAGTGCCCAAGGAGCATATATTAACATACACCATTTATCTTGAGACATAAAACAAACCTCAAATTCAAGGGAATTAAAATGATGCAAAAATGGGTCCACTTGGCCACAATGGAGTCCAAATAGAAATCAATAACAGACAGATCTCCAAACACTTGGAAGCTAAACAGTAGGCTTCAAATAACCCATGTGTAGCTGGGTGTGGTGGCTCAAGCCTGTAATCCCAGCACCTTGGGAGGCTGAGGTGAGAAGGTTGCCTGAGTCCAGGGGTTTGAGGCTAGCCTGGGCAACTTGGCAAGGCCTCATTTCTGCAATAAATAAAAAAAAATTAGACGGGTGTGGTGGCACCTGCCTGTAGCTCCGGCTACTTGGAAGACTGAGACGGAAGGATTGCCTGAGCTCAGCAGGTGGAGGCCACGGTGGCCATGAGCATGTCACTGCACTCCAACCGGGTGACAAAATGAGATTCCAACTCAATAAATAAATAAATAAATAAATAAATAAATAAATAAATAAATAAATCATGTGTTAAAGAGGAAGTCTCAAGGGAAATTTTTTAAAAACCATGAAATTGAATAAAAATGAAGTGATAGCATACAATATGGTGAGACACAGTTCACCCAGTGAAGAGAGTAGAACTTATAGCACTAAATGCTTACATTTGAAAAAAGAAAAAGTCTCAAATCAATCATCTAAACTCCTAACAAAAGAAATTTTTAAAAAGAGCAGAATAAACCCAAACCAAGCAACAAGGAAGAAATTATAAAGACCAAACATCAATGAAATTGACAACAGCAACAACAAAAAAAGAAAATCAATGAAACCCAAAGTTGATTTTTTGGAAAATGTCAGTACACAGCCAGGCATGGGAGTGCGTGCCTGTAGCTCCATCTCCTTGGAAGACTGAGGCAGAAGGATCGCCGGAGCCCAGCAGATTGACACTGGGGTGGCCATGAGTGTGCCATGGCACTCCAACCTTGGCAACAAAGTGAGACTCTGACTCAAAAAAAAAAACAACAAAAGAAGCCAGGCTCAGTGGCTCAGCCTGTAATCCCGCACCTTTGGGAGGCTGAGGTGAGTGGATTGCCTGAGCCCGCGGGTTCGCGACCCGCCTGGGCAGGCGAGACCTCATCTCTACAATAAATAAAAAAAAATTAGCTGGGAGTGGTAGCGTGCACCTGTAGTTCCAGCTACTTGGAAGGCTGAGGCGGAAGGATTGCCCGAGCCCAGCAGGTCGAGGCTGCGGCCACTGCACTCCAGTCTGGGCGACAGTGAGACTCCAACTCAAAAAAAAAAAAAAAAAGAGAAAATGTCAATATAATTGACAAGCCTATAGTAAGACTGACCAAAGAGAGAGAGAGAGAGAGAGAGAGAGAGAGAGAGAGAAGATACAAATCAGAAATAAAACGGGAAACCACTACAGACCCTGCAGACTTCAAAAGGGTAATAAGGGAATATGAGTGTTACACCTACACACATAAATTCAACAGCTTAGAACTAATTTCTCAGAAAATGCAAACTACCACAACTTACCCAATATGAAATAGATAGTTTGAATAGCCCTGTGACTATTAAGGAAATTAAATTTGTAATTGTTTTATTTGCTATTATTTTTTTCAGCTGGGGTCTCAATCTGTTGCCCAGGTTAGAGTGCAGTGGCATGATCATGGCTCACTACAGTCTTGATCTCCTGGGCTCAGATGATTCTTCCGCCTCAGCCTCTTGAGTAGCTGGTAATACAGGCATGTACCACCATGCCCGGATGATTTTTTTTTTTTTGTAGAGACGAGGTTTTGCTATGTTATTCAGGCTGGTCTTGAACTCCCATCTTGGTCTCTCAAAGTGCTAGAATTACAGATGTGAGCTGCCGCTCCTGGCCTAAATTTGTAATTTAAAAATTCCCCAAAAAGAAATCTCTGGTCTAGATGTTTTCACTGGAGAATTCTACCAATTGTTTGAAGAAATATTAACATTCATTCTACACAAACTCTTCCAGAAAACAGAAATGGAGGGAATACTTCCCAACAGACACAAAAACCAGACAAAAACTGTAAAAACAACAAGTACAGACCAGTAGCTCTCAGGACGATAGGCACAGAAATCCTTAACAAAATCTTGCAAATAGAATTCAGCAATATGCAAAAGAATTGCGTACCATGACAAGGGAGGTTTATCTCAGGAATACCAGATTGGATCAATATTTGAAAATCAATCAATGCAATCCACCATATTAAAAGATTAAAAAGGAAACATTACATAATCATGTCAATCAATGCAAAAAGCATGAAAAGTTGGCAAAATTGAGCACTCATGCGTGATTATAAAAACTTTTGGAAAAATAGGAATAGAGAAAAAACTTTCTCAACTTGACGAAAAACTCTATAACACCCCTGCACCCCTGCCCTGTCCCTCCACTAAAAAACCTTACAACTAATATCATGTCTTTTTTTTTTTTTTTGAGTTGGAGTCTTACTCTGTCACCCAGACTGTAGTGCAGTGGCCACTACCGCAGCCTCGACCTGTTGGGCTCCGACGATCCTTCCGCCTCAGCCTTCCAAGTAGCCGGAATTACAGGCAGGCGCTACCATGCCCGGCTGATTTTTTGATTTATTGTAGAGATGAGGTCTCGCTGCCCAGACGGGTCTCGAACCCGCGGGCTCAGGCAATCCACTCACCTCAGCCTCCCAAAGGCGCAGGATGACAGGTTGAGCCACCGAGCCCGGCTAATTTTTTGATTTATTATAGAGATGAGGTCTCCCCAAGTTGTCCAGGCTGGTCTCGAACCTGTGGGCTCAGGCAATCCTTTCACTTGGGCCTCCCAAAGTGCTGGGATTATAGGTGCGAGCCACCGTGACCAGCCAAAATCATACTTAATGATGTAAAACTGTACGCTTTCCCCCTAAACTGGAACAAAATAAAGATATTCACTCTCATGACTCTTATTCAGCATAGTATTTGATGTTCCAGCCAGTGCAATAAGGCAGGGAAAAAAAAGAAAAAAGAAAAATAGGAAGAAATAAAACTGTCCTTGTTTGTATAAGATACAATTATCTACTTAGAAAACCTCAAAGAAGCTATTTTAAAAAACCCCTCCTAGAACTAATAAGTAAATTTAGCAAGGTCTCAGAAAACAAAACCAAGTTCAGCATACATATGCCAATAGCACCTACTTCACATCATATACAAAAATTAAAATAAAAGGGATCAAATAAATGTAAGAGCTAAAGATAGAAAAATTCTTAGAAGAAAAATAAGTATAAATGTTCATGACCTTGAACTGGCCAATTGATTCTTAGATATGACAACAAAAGCACAAATAACCAAAGAAAAAACAGATAAATTGAGCTCCGTAAAAATTAAAAAGTTTTGTGGTCGCGTTCGGTGGCTCAGCCTGTCATCCCAGCACTTTGGGAGGCCGAGGTGAGAAGATTGCCTGAGCCCATGGGTTCGAGACCAGCCCGAGCAATGTGGTGAGACCTCGTCTCTACAACAATTCAAAAATTAGCTGTAATTCCGGCTACTTGGAAGGCTGAGGTGGAAGGATCGCTGGAGCCCAGAAGGTCAACGCTGGGGTGGCTGTGAGTGTGCCACTGCACTCCAGCCTGGGCGATGGAGTGAAACTTCAACTCAAAAAATGTTTTGGAAGTTCTTTTACATCGACCGCCTAAGAGTCACACTGTAAGAAGCAACAACCTCTCCTCGTCGTCTCCACCATCTGCTCTGCAGCTGCAAAGCAGCAACCATGCGTGAGTCCTTCTCCATCCACATCAGCCAGGCTGGTGTCCAGATTGGCAATGTCTGCTGGGAGCTCTATTGTCTGGAACATGGCATCCAGCCCAATGGCCAGATGCTAAGTGACAAGACCATTTTGGGAGGAGATGACTCCAACACACTTTTCAGTGAGACGGGTGCTGGCAAGCATGTGCCCAGGGCAGTTTTTGTAGACCTGGAACTCACCGTCATTGATGAAGTTTGCACTGGCACCTACTGCCAGCTCTTCCACCCTGAGCAGCTCATCACAGGCAAGGAAGATGATGCCAACACCTGTGCCCGATGGCACTACACCATGGGCAAGGAGATCATTGACCTTGTCTTGGATAGAATTCGCAAGGTGACTGAGCAGTGCACAGGGTTTTCGGGGCTTCTTGGTTTTCCACAGCTTTGGTGGGGAAACTGGGTCTATGTTCACCTCCCTGCTGATGGGATGTCGCCATTTACCTAGCCCCCCAGGTTTCCACAGCTGGAGTTGAGCCCTACAATTCCATCCTCACCACCCACACCACCCTGAAGCACTCTGATTGTGCCTTCATGGTAGACAATTAGGCCATCTCTAACTTTTTTCCTAGAAACCTTGATATTGAACGCCCAACCTACATCAACCTGAATAGGTTGATAGGACAGATTTAACTTAGTATCACTCCATCAATGCTTCCCTTAGATTTGATGGAGCCCTGAATGTTGAGCTGAGAGACTTCCAGACCAACTTGGTACCCTGTCCTCGCCTTCACTTCCCTCTGGCCACATATGCCCCTGTCATCTCTGCTGAGAAAGTCTACCATGAACAACTTTCTGTAGCAGAGATCGCCAGTGCTTGCTGTGAGCCAGCCAACCAGATGGTGAAATGTGACCCTCGCCACGGTAAATACATGGCAAGATCTCATTTCTACAATAAATCAAAAAATTAGCTGAGCATGGTGGCTCATGCCCGTAGCTCCAGCTACTTGGAAGGCTGAGGCAGAAGGATCGCCGGAGCCCAGCAGGTGGAGGCTGTGGTGGCTGTGAGCATGGCACTGCACTCCAGCCTGGGCGACAGAGTGAGACTCAGACTAAAAAAAAAAAAAAAAGTTTTAAAAGGCTTCTCTTGGACTTTTGATGGAGGACTCAGGCAATCCGCTCAACTCCGCCTCCCGAAAGGCTGGGATTACAGGCATGAGCCACCATGCCTGGCTAAAAACAGTATTTTGGAAATCAATTGTATTGTTTTTTTCTGTCACCCAGGCTGGAGGGAAGTGGCACAACCTCGACCTGCTGGGCTCAGGTGATCCTTCTGCCTCAGCCTTCCAAGTAGCAAGAACTGCAAGCGTGCACTACCACACCTGGCTAATTTTTTGATTTATTGTAGAGATGAGGTCTCACCAAGTTGCCCAGGCTGATCTTGAACCCGTAGTTTCAGGCAATCCTCTCGCCTCAGGCTCCCAAAGTGCTGGGATTATAGGCGTGAGCTACCGGGCCTGGTATATAAATTGTATTTATGGGGAAGATGGGACAGAATATACAGGCTAGAAGTCGTCCCATACAAGTATGGCCAACTGAAGTGCAAAAGTAACTCAACAGAGGAAGAATAAATAGTCTTTTCAATAAATTGTGCTGAACATGAGGTATATATATCCTTGTGGACCAGAATCCAGGCTGCAATACAATACAATAAGGGACCCCAATACTCCACTGTCAGCAAAGGACAAATCAGCCAGAAAGAAAGTCAGCAAGGAAACAGAGGACTTGAACAACTCCGTTGACCAAATGAACCTAAACAATATGTGCAGAAATATCATCCAACAGCAGAATATACATTCTTTTCAAGCATACGTGGAACATTCTCCAGAACAGATGATATTTTTAAGCTGCAAGACAAGTCTTAACAAATTTAAAAAGATTGAAATCTAATTAAGTGCCGGGCTCGGTGGCTCAGCCTGTCATCCCACGCCTTTGGGAGGCTGAGGTGAGTGGATTGCCTGAGCCCGCGGGTTCGAGACCCACCCGGGCAGCAAGACCTCCTCTCTACAATAAATAAAAAAATCAGCCGGGCGTGGTAGCGCGTGACTGTAATTTCGGCTACTCGGAAGGCTGAGGCGGAAGGATCGCCGGAGCCCAGCAGGTCGATGCTGCGGTGGCCCGGGAGCGGCCACTGCACTCCAGTCTGGGCGACAGAGTGAGACTCCAACTCAAAAAACAAAAAACAAAATAAAACAACAAAAAAAAGAAATCTAAGTAAGTATTTTTTTCCAATAATAAAGTAGGAAAGTAGAAATCAATCATAAGAGAAAAATTGGGAAATTTACAAATATGTGAGAATTAAACAACACTCTTGAGCAACCAATGGGGTCAAAGTAATAAGAGGGGAAATTAAAATAATATTTTGGGTCGGGCTCGGTGGCTCAGCCTGTAATTCCAGCACTTTGGGAGGCCGAGGCAAGTGGATTGCCTGAGCCCGCGGGTTCGAGACCCACCCGGGCAACTTGGCGAGACCTCGTCTCTACAATAAATCAAAAACTAGCCGGGCGTGGTAGTGCCCGCCTGTAGTTCCAGCTACTTGGAAGGCTGAGGCGGAAGGATCGCCGGAGCCCAGCAGGTCGAGGCTGCGGTGGCCGGGAGCGGCCACTGCACTCCAGTCTGGGTGACAGAGTGAGACTCCAACTCAAAAAATAAATAAAATAAAATAAAATAAAATAATATTTTGAGGCCAGGCGGGGTGAGTCACGCTTATAGTCCCAGCACTTTGGGAGGCCAATGTGAGAGGATTGCCTGAGTCCATGGATTCAAGACCAGCCTGGGCAACTTGGCGAGACCTCATCTCTACAAAAAATTAGCCGAGTGTGATGGCATGTGCTTGTAGTTCCAACTACTTGGAAGGTTGAGGTGGAAGGGTTGCCTAAGCCCAGCAGTTCGAGGCTGCGGTGGCCGTGAGCGTGACAATGCACTCCAGCCCGGGTGACAAAGTGAAACTCCAACAACAACAACAAAATTTTTTTTGAGATGAACCAAAATGGAAACACAATGGATCAAAACTTATGAGACACAGCAAAAGCAACTCTAATAGGGATTTATAGCGAGAAACACCTACATTAAGCAGAAAGAAACACCGCAAATAATTTTACACCTCTAGAAACTAGAAAAAGAACAAACTAAGTCCAAAGTAAGCAGAAGGGAGAAAACAATAAAGATAAGAGCAAACATAAGTAAGATAATGTTTAAAAGTCCATATTACCCAGGGCAATCTACAGATTCAAAGCAATCCCTATCAAAATTTCTTTTATGGCCGGGCTCGGTGGCTCAGCCTGTAATCCCGCGCCTTTGGGAGGCTGAGATGAGTGGATTGCCTGAGTCCGCGGGTTCGAGACCCGCCTGGGCAGCGAGACCTCATCTCTACAACAAAAATTAAAAAATCAGCCGGGCGTGGTAGTGCATGCCTATAATTCCGGCTACTTGGAAGGCTGAGGCAGAAGGATCACAGGAGCCCAGTGGGTC